CCTGTGCCTGTGCCTGTGTCTGTGTGTGTGCGCGGAAGCTGTGTTAAAATCTACAGTAATCTAGACTAGAGACCCTCACCTGGTAGGTGGGGAAAATATATACAAACTGCTGCAACATAATGCGTGTGGCAACGATCAATATCACCAGATCGGGTGTCACCAATGTGAGCGTCCCTGTAATAGCGAGGAAGGAATTTATGAAATATTGCTAAATATTGCGCTTGTTTCTTCACACTTGTCCAACCGGAAATTCAGCAATAAATCACAGGCTTGATGGAACATCTGCTTTCGGACGCCAACGTGACAACGGGTAGAATTTGATGCATTGTTTGGAAAAAACATAGCCTTCAAATATTGGGTCGGATCGTACCGGGTGATCGTATTCCAGACCCTCGGACGTGTCGCCCAGTATATCCAGTATCAAGCGCTGTGCACATACAGTTGCCGTTAGGCTTTGTTCTCAGCTCGCTTCGCGCCGAACAAGTTCATTCTTGAAAAGATTATGTTTTCCAAATCGAGTTGGATCCCAGGTGTTCATGTCATGCTAATATCGCATATATATATATGGTGCAGGGTTGGCCACCCCCCCTGCCCCCCCCCACCAATGGGTATGGGTGGACAGTATCGTCTGGTTCTTCTGGTCCCCCCTCCCCCTGTGGCCTGTGGTGGTGGTATGGTTCTTCTGGTCCCCCCCCCTGTGGCCTGTGGTGGTGGTATGTTGGTATGTTGGTATGTTGGTATGTTGGTATGTTGGTATGTTGGTATGTTGGTATGTTGGTATGTATGTTAGTACGTATGTTGGTACGTATGTTGGTATGTATGTTGGTATGCATGTTGGTATGTATGTTGGTATGTATGTTGGTATGTATGTATGTATGTATGTAGGTAGGTAGGTAGGTAGGTATGTAGGTATGTAGGTATGTAGGTATGTAGGTATGTATGGTATGTATGTTATGTATGTTATGTACTTTATGCATGTTATGCATGTTATGTATGTTATGTATATTATGTATGTTATGTATGTAATGTATGTAATGTATGTAATGTATGTAATGTATGTAATGTATGTAATGTAATGTAATGTAAATGTAATGTAATGTAATGTATGGTATGTATGTATGTATGTATGTATGTATGTATATATGTATATACACCACCACAGGGGCATCATACCCCCCCAATCCCATGGGGGGGGTGGGAACACGGGACACGGGACCATGTATATATATATATATATATGCAAATATCGGCCATTCCAGTCTAGAATGGCCGACGCATCTAAATGAAAAGCATGAGAAACCTCGTTGTTGCAAAAAAAAGTCGGCATTTGGCGATGGATAATCCAGCTTCCTCATTTAATCACGCTTGAATCATTTGAATCATGGCCGCAACTTAGTGTTGATGGTCGTTTTCACGTCGGGGAAAGTTGTCGGTTCAAGCCTTCAAATCGGCTGCTACTAGTTCGAACCCAGCACCGTGACGGGTAATTATTTGGCCACAAAATGGGTCGCGGTTTCAAAATTCAGAAAACGCATCGGACGACAGTTAAAAGACCGTTTATCCTGAACTCTCAACTGGTTCTTACAGGATAATTTGAAGTGGAAAATGTTGCGACGTGATTTTGTAAACATGTTGTGGTATGCTAATGCCCAATGTTGCGCCCCCGCTGTACAAAGATTTTGCATACGGTTCTGGGACGCTTGAGGCCAAGCAATTCGCTGACGTAGAGATGGCTGTCGCGTTTGAGTGCATTTGAAGACCACGGCGGTTCGCTATATAGATCAAATGGAGGGACATCATTTGGCGAATGGAGTAGGATCTGTCTTTAAAATCAAGGCAGACGTGAGACACGGACGCGTGTTGAGTGTTGAGTCCAGGATTTTTTTGTCCGTTCTTGAATAGGCCATGGGCATCCTTGGACAATGGCAGATTGGACATCAAATTTTCACGACGCTGGTTTTGCTGGGCATTGCTGGGTGTTTACGTGGTCCTATTGGAGTCATTGGTACAAAACAATTCGATTGTGGGTTACCGACCTTCGTACTGACAAGCAAAGCACAACATTCTCCCGATCTAACAGCCGGAAATAGCATCAACATGCATCAACCACACAGGTCAAGACGCAGACGTACACTAATCACGTGAAACGAACTTCCCAATCATGGTTCTTACATAGGTGTGATTTTGCGCATGCCTATGTAACATCATGTAACATCATGCATACGGATGTATCGGTTTTAGCTAAGATACGATTCTTTCATGTCGCCGCTTCCGATTTTTAACAACTTCAGAACTTCAATGCCCAGCCGGGAGGCTGACAAACAGCCCATGTGTCTGGTTTTTGCAAAAATGCGATGTACCCCAGCAAAGTTTTCAGAGGGAAATTATAATATTAATTAATGGATATTGATATTAATGGGTTTAATTTTGGGGTTCCAAATTCGGGACAATCTGCTGGAATTCGGTGGGGGGTATCAGCTGGAGTCAAAGGATTACCTCGGCAAGTTGTGGTTGCCTACTGCAACATGTTAGGCTGTTGAAAAGCCTCAAATCCAAAACCTCAGACGGCTAAATCCAAACGATTGCGCGATGATGCGCGATGTATATACATCATAGTTTTCCTCAAGTTCTTTCCGTTTTGTTTTGGAGCGTTTACTTTTTAACGCCTATATCTCCACAAAAGTCCACAGGTCACGTCAAAAACCAACGGGCAGTTTTCGACGCCGGCTTGGCAGTCGCGTGATGGGTTTGAATTTTCCTGATGGAGAGCTGGCGGTTTCAATTCCCCAAAAATCTTAGTCCAAGGCTTTAGGTTGTGGCCAGCTGTGGGCTTTCCCAATGTTTCCCATAGCAAGAGCGCTAGTTTCGGCGACGAAAATGACGGGCGTGCTGTCTTCGGCCAGCAGGACAACGCTTTGTATGTCATGTAGGTATACCATCTGACATGGCAATTCAAAATCTACCATTTGCAGATGTTTTTCCCATTAAAACCTCCAAATACAGAGAAATTTCTGATTTTGAGATGCTTTTCTAGCTTCAAGTACCGGAGTGATCACTTTACTGCAGGTGGCTGCACTGCACACAACAGGAGCTTTGGAACTCTTTTTCCGCCCATCGACGAGGTCGCAACAGGAGCCATCTTCTGTCGGTGTGTGGCCAAAACCTCGGCCAACTCAGCCAGCAGTAGCTGCTACGTGGCTGGTACAGTGACTCCTAAGCAACTTTAAAATACCTGATAAGCAGTGAATCATTGCTTTACCTGACCCAAAAAAATCCTTCAAACATGTGTCAATTTGCTGTGAATCGCATGCTCCCCAATAGGGATATCCCGAATTGACGGTCGTTTCATTTTGGCCAATTCTCGATATTACATTGAACGATTCCATATTATAAAATGATCATACATATTGATCAACACCACTTATTCGGACAATTTTTGTAGCAGAGAACCGTTTCAAAAACAGGCCAAGCACTGGATGTCTCTGAGTCTGAGTGCTGCACCTCTGCACAAGTGAGGCATAAATCCTTGTTTGGTGAGCCATGTTGAGCCACACAAAAATAATTATGGAAGTCATTTGGGATCTAAGTGATAATTACATCTGATAAACATATGAACATTATCATGATAATTGTCCAATTTGAGCCACAATATCATAATTAATTATCACAATTGGACAACTTTGGGGATGGAAAATCGACATATGTGACACCAGCAAGCGCTTGACAACACATACCAAGCTCGCGGCATATGATTTGGCCAGTTTTGATAAGAAAACCCAATGACGTGGGGTTATTGCGTAAGCAAATTCATGGCGACTGCTAACATCTGCTGAGGTGCCGGCGTAGCAGCAGCCAAATCTGGGGCAGTGAAGCATCATCTGATCCTGCAGAAATGGGTGTCAAACTTGGGCCCCGTTCATTTCGAGATGTTTCAAGGTCACTGGTTGGTGGTTTCAACCCCTCTGAAAAATATGAGTTCGCCAGTTGGGATGATGACATTCCCAATATATGGAAAGTCATAAAATTCATGTTCCAAACCACCAACCAGGTCATTTTGTTTCGGAAGCATCAAAAAACTACGGAGTTTGAGGAGTTCCACTGAGTAAAGCAGCTCTTTTGATGTGGAAAATCATTCACTATCATAGAATAAGCATCAAAGAAAAGGGTGACCCAATTTTCAGAGAATCTCATGTTCCATGGAAAATGGAAGAATCAATGTGAATAATTATTTGATGTGGAAGAATGATCAGGTCCTCTTCAATCTGATCGCGGGAGCAATGGCTACAAGACAGCCTCAGGTGGCAACAGTCACAACCCCATGATGTACCTTGGAAAAGGGCTTCGAAACAACCATAGGAATTTTCCATGGTTACATCATGCGGATATAAATGATATACTGGTTGGTGGTTTCAACCCCACTGAAAAATATTAGCCAGTTGGGGTTACTATTCCCAATATATGGAAAAATGTTCCAAAGCACCAACCAGAATATGATATAATACTGTAAGGGTTCACTAGTGTTGCAACATCATTCAGATCCTACTCATTTCATGATCAGTGCCAGGGTCGGTCAACTGGTCATCCTCACCAGCCATCATCAAATAGCTCGTCCACATTCACATGGTTGTTACTACCGTCACCAGCATCATCATCTATAAATCATCAATCATCATGCTTATCACTATCAAGATCATTGTCTCTACATGTCACTACCATCGCTGTCGCACTCAGAAGCCAATCCGAAATAAGACCACCATGCGTGATTTTGCCGTGGTCCATATTGGATCAATCTTATCTGGTGACAAACTGTCTGTAATTTGGGGCGTATCATCATTTCCCTATCAACACGGCCATAACTGGGGGGAGTGTACCCATTTGGGGGGTTGAATCCGGCATGTGCAGACACACCTCAATATCTCGGTTGTTCAATATCCCCCAGACCCACTATATCCATCTATATCCAAAACAATTGTGGGTTAGGCATGGTAAAACCACCATTCTCACCATTGATTTTTCATTGAATCGGCCATACCTGGAGCTCCAAACATCAAATCATCCGTTCCACTGCGCATGCGATACGCCGCGGGCACGCCGCGGATGGGTTGTAGGAGGCCATGCCTGGTGACACATCCCATTCCAAGAATGAGTGTAGCAACCTTCATGATCCCATTCAGAATGGACATGTGCAGCATAGCATCCCCCAAAAAATGCTAAACATACCTTGAAGACCTGGAAATGATGAGGAAACCGTCCAACTATGCTATATATTACCATATAATTCGCCTGGAAACAGAAACTCATGATGTCAGAAAAGAACGGCTTCGATTCATTAAGATTCCATTTTTTGGGAAGAACTAGAAGAAACCCGCCCATTTCGATCGGTTGGTCCCCTTAAAAATTTGGCAGGGTCACCTTTTTTCCAGTGTCCGTGAGGATTCTTCAAGAACCTTCGTCTTATTATTTCTTAGTCAAAGTCCATTCCTGGTGACAACGAATGGGTCAGTTTCTATGACCTATGGTGACTTTGAAACAAATCAAAAGCTCTCATACCAAGTGAATAAGTGGAACAATATGCATAACAACCAACTATTTTGATCTATTTTGTGTGAAAAGGAGGGTCCCCAGGGTTGCCAAATGGATGCAAATGGACATAGATGTGATATAGAACTCAATGATACTCAAGCCATTTGTAGAAAACACATGTAGATCAATTTCCTATGGAAATCCAAAGATTTCACTTATAGATTTCCATAAATTTTTCTCCGTAACATATCGGTCATCCCATCATTTCAGTCCCCAGAAAAATCGCCTCCTGGGACATCTGAAGTCGAACCGCACCACCACGCGGCGTCCAACCTGGTGGCGGCCGGTTGGATGTTTTGGGATCTGCCAGGTGCCCTGTCACCGGCGAGCCTGGCCTCACCGGGCACCAGCCGGGTGAAGCACAATGCACCTTGACATCGCCAAGAAGAATACCCTGATGGATCCTGATGGGTTCAGAAAGGGACTGGAATCTACCTGGTAGGTTACCTATTGATGGGGATGATTATATTTTGGATGAACTACCCTATGATTATAGATAACTACCCTATATTTTGGTTACCTATAATTATTATAATACTATGATTATAGATAACTCGTAGTATTTTGGATGGCTCCTTTCTCCATCAGCTAGGCTGCCGGCGAACACGCAGGCGGCATTTGTTTTGCACATGTGCAACCTGCCCCGGCGACGTGGCAACGGAGACTGGCACCATCATCTATAGAGATTTCTGGATGGATATAAACACATAGAAAAATCTGATTCGGTACAATAATAAATAAACAAATAAACAAATAAATATATACATATATATATATGGTAAAGAACATATATATACAATATAGGTATATATTATATTAATGTACACATAAATCTGGGAATCCCCAAGTACTGTAGATGTTGTTTTTGCCTTTCCAGGATGTGATCGATGATCTTTTCCTCGTGCTTTGCGTTTGAGCCTTGCTGTACACTGTATAAATATTACATCTTATCTATCTATCTATCTATCTGTCTGTCTGTCTGTCTATCTATCTATCTGTCTGTCTGTCTGTCCGTCCGTCCGTCTGTTCGTCCGTCCGTCCGTCTATCATTACCTATCTACCTGCCCAGCTAAAACGTATGAGTTTTCTATCTGTTTGTTAGTCTGGCTGGCTGTCTGTCTGTCGACCCATCCATTATATAATCATCAATCCATCAACCCGTCAATGCATCATCAATCATCACTTTTTCAGCCTATAGAGTTAAGCTATGTTAATCTAGTTCTCAAGCAAGAACTAGCTAACTGGGACCCATAGCTATGTCAACCAACATCAACCAACATCAACCAACATCAACCAACAATATGTGAACTCTCCATTTTTTGGCTCGTGAACAATGCTCATTTTTGCTGCTGTTTTGCTGCTGGATCCACCCGCCACGGCTCCTCCACAAGGGTGTCCAGCAACGCTCGCCGCGCGGCCAGCGCCAAGGGTGGAGACACCAGGGCCTGGCAGAACATTTCGCGGTCCCCAATGGAGCTAGACACCCCCATAAAAACCATGGTGGATATCGGGAAATTCATGGAATTTCCACATCGTTTTGACCGCTTCGGGGGTGTTTTTTACATTAGGACGATGGGTATGCCAGATCTTTACTTGATCCTTTGTTGTATGTTTACCAGTTTACCATTGTTTACCGGCTACCAGCAAGTATGAATTTCTCTGTGAAGAAATGATTATTTTTTAATGGCTGTGATTTCACAGCAAATTTCAAGATTTCGCCACCAAGCATTATTGAACAAAAAATGGCAGGAAATCATGAATCATCATGAATCTCTATAACCATCTCATTTCTTGGAGGGTTCCTGTAAGATTTATCTTGAAGCTAAACTGGAATAAATACACCCATTTATATAGCGCATTAACACATTCATTACCTCCAAAGTTGGCGAAAGTGGGTATTCCTCAATTGACTGTATAGGTATATAATACGGTATATGGATTAAAAGAAACAGGGTAGACACCTTACAACAGCAGGACCTGGGACATGGTCTCCACCAAACTCTAAATGACGCAAGGAATTCTCATTTCCAACACCAAGCACCGATGAGCAGAGTTGTTATGTGGCAGTACCCAAGCCATCCACAGCAGAGTTGACGCTCAGAAATGCTACTCGAATCCAAGTATCTGATGTGGTATATATTAAACCGTGGTTTTGTGGATGGTTTCTAGATGTTTGTACAAACATGTACCAACCAATTCACCATGTCTGGTACAGAAATGGATGGTTTGTTGGATTTGCGACATCACCTCTATTGTGCCAAAGTTTACCGAAGCCAGGAACTGAGAGGAAACCTCTGCCAAACGCTCAAGGACTGGCAACGGAGCCACCTGAATCCAGCTACGAAGCTTGATTTTTGGTCTTCCCAAACATGACCAAAAGATCTAAAACACGATATCATTGATTCGATGATCATTCTCATTACGATGGGTTTACAAACACCTACCTATAATGCTAACTCCATCCTACAAATAGACTATGACTATGAACATCTACATGAAAGCATTACCTCAAGATTTCCCAAGCACATCTCAGCATATTTTGCGTGTTCCTCTTTTTGAGCCACCTTTGTCAAGCTCAGTCTCTGACCCAAATGGCTTTCCGGAAGGATTGAATGGCAGCGACGCGCGCGGGGCTTAAGAGACTTTGCACCTGAGACGTCGCAGCTTCGATGGGGTCCAGCCTTTTGGAATTAAACATGGCTGGCTGGAAAATTGTACTTCTTAGTGGGGGAAATCATTTACAACATTTTACAACAACAAATAGATGTGATACATGGATAAACAACCAGATTTTGAAGTGCCAAATAGATTACAACATGTTTTGGAACTACAGAAACGACATGAAACGACCAGGTCTCAGCCGACGACTCGTTCCAAGGGGACATCCACATAAGAGACCCACACTTCATGGGGGGTGCTAATTTCCCTCTCATGCTTCCATGCATGGGTTTTTAACACATAGGTGAAACTTGGGTATCATGGTATTCCAAATTGAGATGCTTCATGATGTGAACCAAATGCCGTCAACCGTCCTATAAACCAACCATTTTGGGGATGTCATTACAGATCCAGTGGTTCTTATTCGGATGATCATCAAACACATCTGAAGGAAACCCATCCCAAGTCATCCCAAGTCATCCCAAGTCATAAACCATCCCAAAGTATCTCACTAATAAACATTAATAAACCATAATAAACCCATTTAGGGATAGTTTCTTAGCTTTCCTTTAGCATCCTTCATCACCCACTGAAAAACTTCACCACTGCGCCTGTGCAAAACCAGCATCATTCGCAGGGCGCTGTGTGGAAATAAGCAGTTGCCGATAATTTGACCACCCCAAAACAAGGAAAGAATGGGACACATCTCTGCAAGTCTCTGAATCCAACCATTACTTCATCCCAAATTCATCGAACCAGCTCCAGGTTTTCAAGGGTTTCCAAGCTCTTCCAAGCTCTTCAAGGCCCAAAAACTGCTTCTTTCCCAGCTTTCCCCGTGGCGCAAAGCTTCGCCACTGCGCGGATCTTGGCAAATTCCATGATGGCTGTGATGACCTCAGGGGTAGACCCTGCAACTTAAAATCGATTTGAATTCAGTTTAGATGAGTTTATGATGAGTTTTTAACCTATAAAACATACTATATAATTAAACACTATCAAAAAAATATTAAAACACCTAGATTCAATCAGCAGGTTCTCAACATTGAATTGTAGACTTCTCAAGCACTATACCTTTAGTGTGATATGCCGCGAAAATCCGCCGAGTACACGTTCTGGTGTGGGTTCCGCGCCTCACAATTCAGCGCGTGAGCGGATTTCGTCCAGGCATCGGCCATGGTGCCGATCTTTGGCTGTTGAGGTCGTGGGTGATGGAGTGGGCTGGATTTGGAGAAACTGACCCGGTGGTGAGGGAGAATAAGTTTAAGGGCTTCAAATTGTCCAAAAAAAATAAATAAAGGGAACCACCGCTGTTTTGTTTCTGTTTTTTGAAGCATCGAGTTTTTTGGATACCCGATATTACCCAATTTTGAGCCATCTTCATGTGTGTGCTTCAAAGTAGCGATGCCTGAGATTGACAGTCAAGCCATGCTCAAGCCAAAGCTCGCAGAAACAGATTTCAGCTTCCACTGGACACTGGCGAACACTCATCAGATAGGCCTGGCCCCCAGAAGTGGTGGACTTTGAACCTAGTGCAATCGCACTTGTGGACCCAAACTGGTCAGTCTTTTCACATTTTTCTGATCCGTGGAGGATTGGGATTCCAAACTGCCTGGCAAACAATACTAAACACATATGGGGTTGTATAAAAACCCGGTATCTTATTTAAATGACGCAAAATCACGCTATCCTTTTTTTCTTTACTCTTGTCGTTTTCTCAGGTGGTGGGCTCCCTGTAGACAATAAGTGCGAATTTTCCAGCTTTCTGTGGGTGAGAGCATCCTCGGTCGAGAGTCAACAGATGTCATCTTTTGTTTTCATTTCCTTTCATTTTGCTTTCATGTCCTCTCATGTTCCGTTGCTATGTATCAAAGATACAGGTCTTCGAAAGCTGATATGCTCAAACCGGTCAGGTGGATATCCGCCCAAACACTCGCGTTTTTTGAATATACGTATGGTTATCGTATGTTATCGTTTTTGTTATCGTTTAGCTATCGTTTCGGAGGCCTGTGCAGGTTGCCATCTTCAGGCTTCATGAACATGTACATGTATAAGCTCGTTATCGTTTTTTTCCTTTTATCGTTTTCTGGGCGGCAATGCATTGGCAGTGTTAAGGTGCAAGCCAAAATGAAATGCCGGGGTTACTATACTATCTGAATCTGTCAGATGGGAGGATTTCCCTGTTGAACTTCCAGACTGTCCAGGTCCCCCGCGAACATCGATTTCCATTTTGGGCGCAGCGATGTCGATCAGCTTCCGCTCAAGGGGATCGAGGCCATACATCTGTAGTAGCCTTGAGCAGTTGCCAAGCAACGGATATTGCACCATCAACCACTAGTCATGGTTATGGCTCGTAACCGTAACCAGTACAAGTCACAGCCATCGGAGACGTGGACATGAAATGACATGAACCCAATTGAACCAATCATTTTCGGGGACCTTGTGTGGAAATAATGTAGTAAACCCCAAAAAGAAACTATCTATAGAATGACCATAAAATTTATAAATAGGTGCTATATGAACTATCACCGCATGGATCCAAAATGATCCAAATGGTAGGTTTATTGGCTTTCCCACATTAAATGATGATGTTCATTCTCCATTGGCGATTTCACCATGGAATCTCCCTGCATCGGCGCCCGCACCATCGTCCCCCATCTCATCCAACGCGGAGAGATGGATCTCCTTCAATTGCACCGAGCCGAAATCGACCTGCGCCAAAGCCCGTTTCGATGGACACATGGGAACCAATGGGGTTTTAACCAACGGACGATGCTTGATTTCAGTCTCATGATTCACGTGAGATTTAGATCCGGGGTATACCCCCATTGGATCTGCTACAACAAAGACAATACTAAACATAGAGGCCCTGTGGATCAAGTGACAGATCTTAAGGATGGATCGTGCAAATGGTAGCAGATAGTCTCAGGTCGCAGGGAAACATGACATCTGGGCTTGGCGGCATTGTTTTCACCAAACTCTTGATATTTGCAGATGGATTTTGACAAGACTTAGATTTGCCCAACATGATTTTTTACACACCCAACAGAATCTATATATAGTACGATATAGTGATATAGTATATAATCTAGTATATATATATAGACTATATAGAGTATATATCACGTTATATCACGTTCAATTCATTCTCTCATCTTCACTGATGTGTCCTAGGGGGTTGACCCTGTGTTACCTCCTGCAGCAGCCCCCTGTTTGGAAAAAATGATCACTTCGCAGATTCGCGAGGATCGCTCTCTTGCTCTTTGTAGTGCCATTTCACCACCTGCAGCCGAAGCATGGAGTAGCATTGGGTTGACCCCAGAGGAAAGTAACGAATCACTTGATCCAGTCAAAATATGTCAAAGCAAAAGAAATCAATGCCATTGTTTAAACTCAACATACAAGTACAAGATGGGACATGAAGAAATAAACACCAGAAAACACCAGCTGAGCATAGCTGAGCCAATAAGACCATTCCTATCAAATCCCATTATATTCCATTATGCCAATTGGCTCATATGTATCCCATGTTTTCCCTAGTATGGGCGAGAACAACTACATACAATAATCCCCAATAAACTAGGTTGTACAACCCCATGTAACAACATTGATATTTCATCAAGGATTTTTGTCACTGCTCACATGTGCCATGGGCAGAACATGGAATTCAGGGGCTATGGTCATCCCACAATCATGAGGGTTTCCCGGAAATATGGGTATCCCGGAAAAAAAATATGGGGTGACCATCCCTTCTGGGAGAATCAGCAATGTTCATGCTGGATGAAACTCGAAGAATCTCATCGTTGCAGCTTCCATGGCCATTTTTGCAGCCCATTTCCATCCATTTCCAAGGTTGGGACATCGTCGTACAAGAGCTTCCCACCGAAGATGTCCAACGCACTGCCGATAGTGGCATCCACCCGGCCAGAGCCTGGGCAGGTGATTCGACAGGAGACTCTCACTGGCTCTGGTGAAAATATTGTTCTGAGCTCACGGCCTAAGGTGCGTATTCTTTCCATATCCTGAAAACCATGGCTGGAAAATGGGCAAAGTAAAAACTTATGAAACCATCGAATGAAACTTGACCCGTAACATCCGTGTTTACGCAAGGGCCGCAAGGGACTAGAAACTGGAAGCATGTCTGTGTGGATTTGAAACATCATTCTTGGGACACAGCGATTCTCGGCATGGCCTCCAGCGACCGAATGCCGCCGGCGTACCTACATCAAGGTGTGTTTTATGTACGTGTCCTCTGGACATATCTTGACATTGCCTGATCATTCCTCATCATTGCAAAACATATCGACAAGTATAGAAATCTTGATGAAGCTCACAGTTCCCGAATGTATGTCTTCAGCTTCACCTTACTTAGCATTACTTCCCTTTCAACTAATCGACGCCAACTTGGATCTAGAGCCTCAGTGGCTTTACCTCTATGGCTGGGTCCAAACCATCCCTGGTCCAACACGAGCGTCCCGGGCACGTCACTGGGATGGGAGATGTAGCCAAAACCTCCACCAACGGCTCCTCAATGCCGCTCATCTTGCCCTCCACGTCAACAGCATGGACCAGGAATTCGTCGCAATGTTGGGCCAGTTCCTTCAGGGTCTCCTGGGGAGTGGTCCGATTTTGTGGGTGAAAGAAAAAGTGCACTTCCATGTGGAAGTGACTGCAACGACATGAAACAGGAGCATCATGTAGCCGAATGGCAACTGTGCTTAAAAAGGGGCCACCAGATTCACAAAAGATCGGAGAACATCACATCGTGGCCGATCTTTTCAGCTACTGAGCAGCTACTGAATGCTGATGTGTGAACTGCCGAAATTCTTTGGTCTATTTCTATGGGGAAGCCCTCCTGTTTTTGGGCAAGCAGTCCTTCTGTTTCTAACAATAGTACACATACTATATATATACTAATATGATGTACACATATTATAGATTAATAAATAAATAATACATTATACATTCCTTTATATATATACAGTACATTATATAGTGTTTTGTAATATGGAAATCCCTATGGCCGTCAAAGTCCTCGTTGACCTCCAGATCCGTCCACTTTTGCCACCGGTCAGTGACCACCTTGGGGGAAGCTCAATGGTAGGATCTCTTGAGAGAATTTACACCACTTTCCCAAGGATTAGCTGATTGTTTCCCGCATTTTGATGGTTCAACATTTTCCCAGATTGCCATAAAAAGTAGCTATTTAAACTATATTTTCAGAGACACTTCTTCGTGAGAAACAAGTCGTTCTACTATCGGACTCCTTTTTTGAGTAGGAAAATGAGGCTACTCAAATTTATCCAATAGTTTTCCGAAGCAAACATGTCACATCTCGGACATCGATTGGACCATGTTGGACCCTGGATGTCTTTTGGGAGTCGAAGAAACATCCTGTGTCCCAGCCCGAAAGCGTAGGACAATAATCAAATCAGCAGCTTCCGACAAGGCAAAATCTCTCAGTGACAAAACTAAGCAAACTCAAGAAATGGTGAGCTCTCGATCCGCATGTCCAAATTGATGCTTCTCTTCATCGTATAGGTTTTTCCTTTCTGGGCCGATGGATGGATAACTCGTTTCACCAAACAGCCCCCCCTATGTTAATCCTGAAGGCCAGGAGATAACTCTCGAAACACTCCAAAAATAAAACAAAGTACATAGCCCATGCGCCCTGCTGTGAAAAGGTGCATGCTTTCAAAAGGGCAGCAAAGCGGTCAGGGAACGAGGTAAGAAGGCTTGTCAAATCCTTATCTTAGGTAGCTTGTGGTAGGTTGCTACATCAACGTACACAGAGTTCAGCTTGCTATAGGCCGAAGCAATGAAAACTACGATTTTCCCAGCCACTTCCAGACTGCAAACTTCACATCTCGTTTTGCCGAACAGAACTGGAATATCATTAGCCCCTTCTTGGGATTCCTCACAATGGTTTTTATCCTGGTTCATGAACCATGAAAACATGGGTTCAATTACCCTAGGGTAAACTAACATAGATGATCTATGTTAGTTTACAGTAGGGTACCCATTCTCAACCTTTTTTGGTTCTGGGTTAGTTTCCAGCTTCTTCTGTGTTAAAGTAGCCTTTCTTCAAGACCCTCATCCCATTATGGCTTCTTAAGCCAGAGTATTGCCAGTTTTTCACACATCTATGAGTACCCAGCTATAGCAATCATAGAATTTTGCCACATCCCATAGAAAAACCATCACTATTCCCCAAATTTCCAGCCATATTACATGTATTTTCACAAGCAACCATTTTAAAACCATAAACGCACACATGCTGGAATAAGATCATATTATGCATTTTCCCAATCTAAAACAATCTTAACATTCACCAAAAAAAACCCACTAAAAACACATCTAAACATCATAAACGCACTACGAGTCTGTATTACCATCAACCACCTGTTACAACCATTGAAACCACTAAAAACAAAACAAAGACACATTTTGAAACCATACTCAAACCATTAATTAAAAGACCGGATAACCCCACATGTCAGCTTCTTCCAACAAGCAGCAAAAGAAAGGTAAAGATGGCATGGGAAATGCAGGAAAGAGAAAAGAGATGGTGAAGGATTGGCGTGTGCAACAAGCAACCCGTGTGTGAGTAAGTTGTGTGTGAGGAAGTTGTGTGGTGATAAGTTGTGTGTGCGGTGTGTGTGTGGACCATGAGCAACAAATGTTGTAGCGGGACGGGGAAGGAAGGAAAGACAAAGGAGGTGGTGAAGGATCGAGAAGTTAAAACAGTTGTGTGGGACAAAGTTGTATGTGAAAGACCGTGTGTGACAAAGAAAGATGATGTGTGAAAAGATGGTATGTATGTATGCATGTATGTATGTATGTATGTCTGTATGAAATGTTCTGCGCTATGCAACCGCAAATTTTGCGAACTCTTTCTGCATGCCCTGTGGCTGGTAATCATCCCTACGGGGAAGGAAGGAAAGACAGAGCAGGTGGTGAAGGATCGAAGGTGTGATGAAGACGGAAAGGTACCTGGCCACGTGAAAGATCGAAGAAAACAAGCAGAAACGCAAAGAAGATTGATTGCAAAAACACCAAACATAGGAGCAGAAGAGACAGGTGAGGGGCACAGTTCACGGTGGATACGCTGTGACCACTGCTTCCGAACATGATGTTCAGCAACGGCAGCATCTGCGCGATGAAGTCGGTACCTGGCAGAGCAAAACAAAACAGCGGGCTGTCATTCCTGTCAAGAAACGGCGACATTATCATGAAGACTGTCAGTTTTGGAATCACAGACTGATAACAGACACGTGAATCACAGACTGATAACTGTCAGTTTTGGAAAGCCGAAGACGTGAACAAAGCCAAGTAGTTGAACAAAGTTGAAGACAAACATGGGTTGGCAAAAAGCCGCGGCGTCCACGGCGTCATCTGGGAACCAAGCGCGCCTACAGGGCCAGCCCAGTGCCATAAGTGCCACGCCTGCCACGCAAAGTGACGGTGGATGTCGCCAAATGCCGCTCCATGTCGCCAAGTGCCACACCTGCCATGCAAAAAGCCGCGGCGTCCACGGCGTCATCTGGGAACCAAGCGCGCCTACAGGGCCAGCCCAGTGCCATAAGTGCCACGCCTGCCACGCAAAGTGACGGTGGATGTCGCCAAATGCCGCTCCATGTCGCCAAGTGCCACACCTGCCATGCAAAAAGCCGCGGCGTCCACGGCGTCATCTGGGAACCAAGCGCGCCTACAGGGCCAGCCCAGTGCCATAAGTGCCACGCATGCCACGCAAAGTGACGGTGGATGTCGCCAAGTGCCACGCCTGCCAGGCAAAGTGAAGGTGGATGTCACCAAGTGCCACGCCTACCACGCAAAGTGAAGGTGGATGTCAACCAAGCGCTCCGGCAGAGCCAGCCCAGTGCCATCAGTGCCACGCCTGCCACGCAAAGCGAAGGTGGATGTCACCAAGTGCCACGCCTGCCACGCAAAAAGCCGCGGCGTCCACGGCGTCATCTGGGAACCAAGCGCGCCACCAGAGCCAGCCCAGTGCCATCAGTGCCACGCCTGCCACGCAAAGTGAAGGTGGATGTCATCCAAGCGCCACGCCTGCCATGCAAAGTGACGGTGGATGTCGCCAAATGCCGCGCCTGCCATGCAAAGTGAAGTTGGATGTCACCAAGTGCCACGCCTGCCATGCAAAGTGACGGTGGATGTCGCCAAATGCCGCGCCTGCCATGCAAAGTGAAGTTGGATGTCACCAAGTGCCACGCCTGCCACGCAAAAATGCCACGCAAAGTGGAGGTCCATGTCGCCAAGTGCCACGCCTGCGATGCCATAAGTGCCACGCATGCCACGCAAACTGAAGGTGGCTGTCACCAAGTGCCACGCCTGCCACGCAAAGTGAAGGTGGACAAGTTGTGTGTGGACAAGTTGTGAAGGTGGACAAGTTGCGTGTGGACAAGTTGCGTGTGCGGAAGTTGTGTGTGGACAAGTTGTGTGAGGACAGGTTGTGTGTGGGCAAGTTGTAGGAGGAGGAGGCGGGAGGAGGAGGAGGGCCGGAGGCGGGAGTGCAGAACCAAAAACAAGAACCCCACACAAAGATGTGGGGAAAAAACATAGTACTACCTACTACCCTCTGGAAATCAAACATAGCAATGGACAATCCCCCAGTTATATAGTTCGATGGTTTTCCTCATTCAATTCTCCAGTACCGTGGATATTCAAGCTCGCCATGTTTCATGACACCACAGTAACATAGTATTACCCATCTTCATCCATAAATACCCAGCTAGCATTACCACCAAGAACCACATATATCTATATCAGAACAACATATTAAGAACACTTAAGAACCAAATATGTTCAGAACCAACTATTTCAGAACCAGTTATTTCCGAACCATATATTATATTATTTCTGAACCAAATTATGTCAGAAACTCCCAAAAAAACAAAAACATACAAACACATCCCAAAACTTCATCTCCAGCCATCTCCAAGCTTCAGGGCTTCCACATATTTCCCATGCGCCATCTGCACCTCCTCCTCCGTCGGCTGCCCCGGTTTCGTCAACGGGGGCAGCTCCAGGGGCGCGCCCAGCACCAGGTGCACTGGCTTCCGGAGCGGCAGAAAACCCAAGGCGCCGCGGTACATGGGGATGCACACGCCTAAGGTCCTGAAAAGGGAAAAGGGGATGTTAGGCCGTGATTTTCGGCCGTGAAACATGGGGAATTTCACCACATTTCATGGGGATTTTCCATGGACTTTATGTTTTTTTTTGTTTGCCGAGGTGGTTTAGAACTAATCATTTCAGTATTGGTTGATGCTAGATATATCGAACGAGTTGACGGGGTCCTAAGAATCAGGCCACTTGCTTATGTGGTGATATCCTATGAGGTCCCACGTTCACTTAGGACGAAATTTTTAAGGTCACTTACGCCGAAAATGACCCCCACACATTTTCGACATCACTTGCGACGAAAAACCTCTGACTACCTGTAAACTTCCACGAATTACGCTACCACGAAATGCAAAAAACATAAAAAACGATCAACACTTCATCTCTCATTCATGTTCCAGTGGGGTGGGGTGGGGTGGGGTGGGGTAATAACGTTCATGTTCCTATGCACACACAGGCACAGCAACCTCATCATCTTTCTTGCTGTTGAGCAGAGACAGGCACAGCTCTTTCATGATCAGTTACCGGTGGGGTGGGGTGAGTTAATAAGGTTCATGTTCCTATGCCTGCACACGCACAGCAACCTCATCATCTTTCTTGCTGTAGAGCACTTACACGCACTGCTCTTTCATGATCAGTTAGCCGTGGGGTGGGGTGGGGTGGGGTGGGATGATAACGTTCATGTTCCTATGCCCACACAGGCACAGCAACCTCATCATCTTTCTTGCTGTTGGGAAGAGACAGGCACAGCTCTTTCATGATCAGTTATCGGTGGGGTGGGGTGAGTTAATAAGGTTCATGTTCCTATGCCTGCACACGCACAGCAACCTCATCATCTTTCTTGCTGTAGAGCACTTACACGCACTGCTCTTTCATGATCAGTTACCCTTGGGGTGGGGTGGGGTGGGGTGGGGTGGGATGATAACGTTCATGTTCCTATGCACACACAGGCACAGCAACCTCATCATCTTTCTTCCCGTAGAGCAGAGACAGGCACAGCTCTTTCATGATCAGTTACCGGTGGGGTGGGGTGAGTTAATAAGGTTCATGTTCCTATGCCTGCACACGCACAGCAACCTCATCATCTTTCTTGCTGTAGAGCACTTACACGCACTGCTCTTTCATGATCAGTTGTTGAACTTGATGTAAGAAGAGCCACGACACCTTTGGGGTTTATATCTTGTTGCACTTGATGTAAGAAGAGCCACGACACCTTTAGGGTTTATATCTTGTTGCACTTGATGTAAGAAGAGCCACGACCCCTTTAGGGTTTATATGTTGTGGCACTTGATATAAGAAGAGCCACGACCCCTTTAGGGTTTATATGTTGTTGCACTTGATATAAGAAGAGCCACGACCCCGTTAGGGTTTATATGTTCTTGAACTTGATGTAGAGGGAGAGCAACACAGTCGACGTGCAAGCACACAAGCGCCACTTTTATACGGAAATTTACAGGTAAAATTCCGATGCCACTACAAAGCCACACAAACGACATCAAAAACAACACGCGCAAAAGCGCCACTTTGTACGCAAATTTACAGGTCAAAACCCGACGCCAAGAAAAAAGCGGCACAAGCGACGTCAAAAAAGCAACACGTGAAAACACCATTTTATACGGTAATTTACAGGAAAAAATGCCGATACCAACAAAAAAGCGGCACAAGCGACACAAAAAAAAGCGGCACAAGCGACGCAAAAAAAAGCGGCACAAGCGAACGCCTCACCTCCTATGATCTACCTCATTACACCAAGATTCAGTAAATGGATGTAAATGGTGGGTTGTAATCCCACTTGGCAACTTGGAGAATCTGCCTGCTTTTACAGTACTTAGTCACTGGTGGTTACTCACCATAGTCATGGCGAATGTCTGTGGCTGACCGCGGAAAATCCTCCAAGAGAGTGGGACTGTGACTGAATGGGACTGGGTGATGTTGTGATGGGGGGAGAAGCCCCACTTGCGTGGATTATGTGAGTATGTATTGTGTATAGGAATGTATCTGTATGGCTGGATGATAATTAGATCATAATTGGATACAATTGGAGTATGATCTGTAATTGTCCGTATTGGTGGCTTTTGGCCAGTCTCTGCAAAACAACGACACATATATCTTTGCGAGAAGAATTTTAACTCATTTTCAGAAAGGGACACAATACGTGACACCACCAATTGGAGAAACACAAGTGAAACAACTCTTGAGAGATGAACGTGGACGGATGAGCTGATGGTGATGACATAGATTGGGTCGATGCACTTTTGTCTGTTTCGCAGTTTCTCAGAAGTTGTGTCTGTGAATTTCTTCCCATACAACCATCTGGTGGTGTTCAGAGTTCCCATTACCATCTGACATATACATCCACCATTCATGAATCCCAATCCGGATCAGTTGAGGCTCTTTCGGAGCCATTCCCTTGGCTTGAAGAACAGATTGGTGTAGGTGGAGTAGAGATCAACGCATCCAAAAGCATAGCATGGCACAACTGCTGCGTTCTGCTCCAAGGCCAGTTTGATGAAACCCATTCGCTTTTGGAGGAAGACCTCCTCCTTTCCTTCCACTGTGCGAATCTGCTCCTGTTCACCTGAGATGCCGCTGTGCGGCAACGCATCAGCCACATGGCTTTGTCTGAAAATCATGGAAAATTGCCCCAAAATACCCAAATCCCTTGGTTTATCATCACGTTCATTCATTTTCCTTGCCCCAAAAACACAAATTTGGAGTATCCTCCATGTCATCACAACGCCGCATGATCGATCTTAGCCAGAAACAAGCCATGGGTTGGAAGAGCTATCCATCTGACTGGGATAAGATTCTCAGAGGATGGAAACTCTACAGGAACCAAGACATCGATCCAACGCAACATCTCCCCTTGTTGCTTTGGTGATAAGCGGATTGCTTCTCCCTTTTCTTTTATAGCCCCCTAACAAAACATAGAATATGATAGAAAAGAGGTGAGTCTTACTATAAACTACATAGTGCTGTGGTTGCAATGTGATTCTAAATCACTTTTTGACTTTTTTGGGGGTTACCTTAAGATCCATTCCATTCCATTCCAACCATCCCTTAACTTCCAGCGTTGGGCACCGCCCGGGATCACCATCAGACTCTTCCGGTGCTTCAGTGCCCGCGCGGCCACAACTTTCCGCGCGTCCACGCAGCGGGTCCAGAGCGCCAGCTCGCGGACCATGGGGATGTAGAACAGGACCGAGGCAGAGAGCGCCAGCACCTGGTGGAATCACCAGATGGCTCTGGTAAAGGCTACGGCAAAATCATGCAAAATCCCTTCCCAGTTATCCCATAGTTTATCCATGTTTGTCATTGTTTATCATCATTTTCCCTATGAAAGATTATGAAAGAGCCATTCTTACGGTATACCCCATTTCCAAATACATCCAAATCACGACAGATGATGGGATGATGCTGGGATGATATGCAATGGTGATGAACAAATCCGTCGAAAATGCTGAAGCCAGTGTTTGGCACGTTTTGGCATGTGATGATGGATTCAAATGATTCAAGGATATTTTTTCCGCTAGAATTTTTGAAACCAGTGAGAGTGGGAGAAATTTGACATGAACCCACCATCAGCTTTCACCATCAACATTCATGCTTTCTTCAAGCCAGCCATATGAGATCATCCTATATAGGATTGGAAACAAACTCTTCGAAGCCATCAGTGAATTTCAGAGGGATACAATCTTTCTATCATTTATGGCAACAACATAAGGCCGAAGCGTACCATTCGCAGAGATTCGCAGAGGTTTGTGATGCATCAGCCATACTGATATCATAGTAGCAATGGTTGATACTGTAGATGTTGATATAGTTATTACCCATATCCTGCGAGGCTCCTTCCGACCTCGCGCTTTGGAAGTGCTTCGTAGAGCATGCCGTCCAGAAGAATTCGATAGTCACTGGCCACGCCATGAGGATGCACGGCTAGAACCACTGGCTTCCTCAGGCTTGGCTCAGTTTTCCCATCGAATGTGGGTTCTGCGATCGCTCTTGTGGGCTAGCTGGTTGCTTTATAATGGAAAAAACATCTATAAATGGATGATTTAAGGGTACCCCCATTTCAGGAAACATCCAAATGGTATTTGACATTCAAACAGCTAAGAAATTCTCATTCCTCCAAGGCGCTCAGGAGGATACTGCTGCAGCTCTGGATGCACGTGAATGCGGAGCCGGATGTAGCGCCGGAAGGCCTACCCGGTAGCTATAATTAACACACAGCTATGGAGCATAATAGGGGAATCATATGGAAATATAGTAGGGAACAATATGGAAATCATGGGGAAGTGGGGAAATAATAGGGACATGACATACTGGTAGGGGTTTCTGAAGTCATGCAGGATCCCCCCAGTCCCCATGGCTTTGAAAAAATGGCAACTTGGGATTTAAGATGAATGATTTAAGCAAAATAAAGGATTTCATCCACAATATGTGGATATGGAGCTTTCCCAAAAATGAATACCCCAAGTCATCCAAAGTGACCAGTTGACCAGTTGACCAGTTCAGCATTGAAACCCATGGGTTCTCTGGGGATCTTGTAAGAAACCCCTACGTATGTATATGTCAATGTATAGAGTATAGAGCACAATGCATACGATATGGAGAATTGAACACATCTATTGAATCTACTACTTTGTGTAATACTATATATATATATAGCTATATATCACCAAACATCACCGAAGCTGTCAGACTCAGGCTCTACGGGGACTCTACCGTTTCCATTGCCATGTCCAAGGCACGTGAAATCCCCATTCTTGGATTGAAAACCAAGGCCATGCAGCTCCATCTCCCAGTTCGGCTTTGGAAATAACACGAGACCACAGGAAGTAGCCCAGAAAGGGCAGCAAGAGCACTGGCTGGGACCAGCAGCAGGAAAGAATTATCAAAGGAGAGGCAAAGCAAATGGCCATCACCAGGTTCCAGTACAAACCTAAGTCGAAATGCTGGTGAAAGGGTTTAGTCAGGCAGACTTCTGTCTTTCGACCAGCTACAGGTCACTAAAAATGAAGAAACAACGCTCGCCTTTCGAAGGCACAAGTATACCCAACGACAACGGGAAGGGATGTGTTTGGCACATCTGTTGTCCACCACCAAGCCCATCGACCTTCCCCCGAAAACAATATGATCCACGAAGTCAGTGGTTTTTCAACAGTCTACCGTCCATCGACCACCTTGTACCGGTACCAGTTTTGAATCTTCCATGACAACCATTTCAACTGTCGATTTTCTCCCAGGTTCTCCAGGTTAATCGCAGAAACCGAGTCCATAGACATATTTTGCACCTTCTGCAGGCCCAAATCCACGCCACAGCAAGCGGGGTAAACAAAGCACGAAGCAAAAGGCCAAGAGCCATTTCCAAGACAAACAGCACACGCAAAACAGTCCTGGAGGCATGACTCCACGGTGGAACACACATGAGAAACTGTTAGAAACAACATGAAAGATATGAAACAACAATCTGAACATGTTCAACATCGCAATCTTGAAAACTTGACAGCATTGGCAACATTTCCAATCAAATGCTGCGGATTCTTCTCCCCGCATCCGGTATCCTGGCAAAAATCCAATGAACAGCAAACAGGTCACATGAAGTCGCGGCGTACACTGCCGACAACAACTCGAGTCGTAAGTGGCATACTTCGCCATAGCAACGAGCTTCACGAGGTGGGAGATCAGCTAAAGTGTGGTCAATGGTAGGCTAAGTGGTTTATGATTCATTTGTTCAATGTCATACCTGTGTATGCAATGTACTGTCCTTCCCAAAGATAGGAGGAACATCTTCTTCTCCATCTGATCTGGGAATAAGAATTGGACTTATAATGTTTTGAACTAGTTATATATGTAAATATATATAAAACATTATATAACCTTATTTCATGGACTAACCTCATAATATCTCATAGTTGACGAGCCCTTGATTCTTGATATGCAAGTGGTTGGTGCAAACTGAAGGCTCGACACTTTGGTCTGGTGCTATCATTCTATCCAGCCATGCTTGAACCAGCTGCAATCCAACAGCTCACTGAACAACCGTTTGAGATGGCCATGGATGTCAAACATGAAAAACATAAATAAGTTTTGAGGGTCACTGGATTTTCGAATGATTTTTGATGCCTGTTTTTAACGTCCAAAACGTCTTGGCCCGTGGAATCTTGGAGCCGAGGTGACGACTTTGTAGACGGGACGGCCCTGGCTGTGGTCGGAGCGATCCATCAGTAGCTTCGACTGTTCAAAGTTCCCGAGACAAGTCCCAAACTCTGCAAATGTTGGTCAAAATCCACAAAAATCCACAAAAACTGTCAGAGTTGATCGGCTAATTCCGGCTAATGTTAGTAATTAATTTATCAAGGTCATCCTTCAGATGAAAGCGAGAATCCCCCTGTTCTTTGTGGCTTAAGCGGATGGGCCCTGCCACATGTTGCATCTCCAGTTGCGGTGAAATCTATGATTCAGACGGCAGGCGCCCATCATAGTAACAGTACTGGGATATAATCCGATAATGTAGGATATTTGATGCTGTGGATATGTGTGATCTATTTGACCAAACATGACAGACCATGTTACAATAAAATGCAATAAACGTATTTGCAAGTCTTGTATTTTGCAATTACGGTACTTGAAAAACACGCTATATTATCAACTATATTTTGTAAATCATCTATTTGCAAGTGTTTGATTATTTGTTACATCTCAATCTGAATCTGAAAAAACATACACATATATAAGAATATCTACTACCCAATCTCTTTTCAATATGGGGTTGTCTGAACATTATGTAACCCCAATTCCAAATGGATTGGAACCTCATTTTCCAGTGAACATTATTGAACATTAGTGATATTCCATTGGAAGGGAAAACCCACTACAATATTTGATTATCGTTTCATTTGGGTTATCATCTAACTTACCCACAAATCATCCAATGTATTATGTAATTGTCATCCAAATGATGGTATACCCACTATTATCATCCATGGCTATCTAACGATCATCTAATTTACCCACTATTTACCCAAATGCTTGTCTAAAGGGATACTCAGAAACAACCATTTACCCACTACTTACCCAGAAATAGCATCTAATCCTCTATATATTTATGCAAATTTAAACGATGAACTGCCCACGAAAATCATATGATCATCATTTGGATCACCTCAGCGCCCTAAATCCGAAGAAGTTTTCTCCATCCGCCTCGCCGGCCGCGCGCCGGCAGCTCAGGTCCAGGACCAAGCGGCTCTTTCCTGGTCATAGCTATGCCTTTTAACATGTAGCCCCGTTTCAGCAGGTTGGGATGATTTGGGACTGACTATGGTAATCTTCATAGAATCCCATAAGAGTCATAAGTCTAGATATGATCCCAGAAGTTGATATGATATTTTTCTGCTAGAACTATATAACTTACTATGGTAGATCAATTAGTTGGGGTATACTATGGATTACCATGGTATACTGCTATGACTATGCTATACCTATGGTATGTAAGAAAAACACATGAGTTGGGATGGAACTGGTAAAACTATATGGCATAGCATAACTATTATGGTTATTTGCCCATTTATATCCATTTATGAGATTTATGGTTAAATAGCCATTTATAGGAATAGTAATTGGGATCTGGGGACATTTTCCTTCGAGCCGAGTGCTGAGTTATTAGCGGTGGTATACCACACACACACACACACTTTTTCAGCCAGGGGATAGAGAATCTTATTGATCAATATAGATTGATGATGGCTTACAGGAAACTCTACGGTTGAAACATGCTGAAACAGTTTTTCTCACACCCCATTTCTAGGGGTAGAGCCATTTTCCCTTGAAGCAATTCAGAGAACTGAAGGTCAGTAGGGGATGACTGTTGATGGCGGCGTTCAACGAAGTTCTGCGTCGGATTCTGCGTATGTAAAAAAAACATATATATATATATATTATGTTTGAGGATCCAGATCCGAGAAAATCTACTTCAATCGATTAAATCAACATTTCTTCGAAATTGACAACATTTTTGATATTTCGATACTTTTTTATTTTTGGATATTTTTTGTCCTACTCTTCTCAGACGTAGTCAACCTGTAGCCGGTAGCTTGGCTCCCCCACCCACCAGGTCAACCATTGCTGCGAGCCGCTCTTGATTCATCTGTTCCCACGGAGGGTTTAGTGCCAAAAAAAATGGTCGCTTGATATCCCGATTTTTGGCAGAGATCAAAGTCCTTTTATGTAGCTATTCTAGCAACAAGGAACATCTAAATGTGAAAGGGTGAAACAAGCCCAAATGTGCGAGCAATGTTCTTTTCTCGCAAGACATCATCCTATTTCCATGGGAAGAAAACACAACCTTTCCATGTTGGGTGAGCAAGGGGGCACATCACAACATCTCCACATCTGGGTTGTAACCTGGGAGCATCATCGCCTTCCCGTCATGGAAAACGAAGGATGTCACAATCACGTGACTGGCACCTAAGACAGGCTGGTCAATCTGTTGAGGCTAAGCCTCCAGAAATTTTAATCAGATGATATGATGGTCCAACATAGTGTCCCATGATTTTTTTTTGGGATTGATGATTGTCCCAAATCTAATCCCATGAAAGTTGTCGCATTTTCCAGCCATGTTGAATTTCCAGTAGCCAGTCTTGTACCACCAAGAGGTGACTCTTTGAGACTTCTGGTGTGTACTAGTTACTACTGTATCCTTCTGGGAAGACTGACTCCAACACCGTGAATTGGTCACACTGGTGGGTTCAACATGCCATTCTCACACCGTTGTGGGTAATAATCCCGATCGCACTAGGCACTTTGGATTCTATGTGAGCAATTCAGAAAATAACAAATACTATATGATACCATATAAATTGGCTAACGGACATGGATTCTCCGTTAATGGGCTGCCATGACCCCTCTGTTCAACAATGCTCAGCATTGAAATAGCAATATGTTCTCCCCTAAAATCCTGGAGTTGAGTACAAAAAAGTCAAACTACATCAATTACACTCATAATATATCATAACTATGATAACACATAGGAACCAATTACCAAGTATTCCACCACCTTTATATTCTATAATTACATGTGTTGGATAGTTAGTTCATGACTGCTGCTGGGGGTGCTTTTCAGGCTGGGTGCCTGACCAGCTTCAAGGAACTCCAAAGCGTTCTCGGTGTTGATGCCACCCCCAACCTGCTGATGGGAACGGAATCACAACCGACAAAGGTGCAGAAGAAGTCTCTCGGATGCGTTCGCGAGAAATCTCTGGCTCTTGAACACATACATTGACATACATGCTTCAATGCTGAAACCTTGGTTCAAAAAACAACTGGTTAACCTTGGATATGTATAAAGAATTATAGATATGATAATATATGTACAACACAACTGGTTAGTAAGTCTTCCAACTGGCCTTATCCCATTTGGAAGTGTGATCTCTGTGTTTCAAGCCGCCTGCAGACCTCCAGGATAAGCTTTCACCGCTTCGAGTGCCTGGAGATGTTTTAGAAACCTCAACATCCATAGTTTCAACCATGGGTCATGGGTGGAGTCAAGGGACAATTGGGTATGGGTCAATACCTATGAAAATACCATTTTTACTGGGATGAACATCCATTTACCAGCTATTTTGGGGTTCACTAGGTACCAGGGTTTTGACCCATCCCCAATTTACAACTATTTACGGTTGAAGCATGTTGACACCAGAAACTTAACACTTTCCAATGACATGACTGGGAAATGTTCTGCAATGATGTTACCTTGAAACCACTGATCCATGCAGTGTTTCTTATGTTGACAGATCCCATAGAGGTGCGACCCGGACGGGGTTTTCACTGGGAACAAACACCTGAACAAAGGGTCGGTTGAAACTCATGGGCTTTCCACCCTCTGGCATGGTTGGGTCTTCTTGTAACATTCTCATCATATTTCATCATGAGATACCCTGCAGATCTTCACATGGAGGTGATTTTTATTCTTCCCCCTTGCTTAGTGAAATCAATAAAGCCACTTGCCGTTAGCCCTTCCAGTCAATTTGCCCAGCTTTCCTTTCCAACCATGCTACACGGTGGTGCCCCTCAGTTATGTTTGTTGGTTTATGAATCTCATTAATGAAGGTAAAACAACAAACCATCCCCCAAATCACCATTCTTATAGATAAAGGGTATAAACCATTCCCAGTCATTCTTGTGGTAAAAATGGCATTGTTTTACCCACAGGAACTTGTAACATATATCTATTGTACCATCAACAAGAGTTTCTACCCACCTTACAGGACGACTCCGCGTGGCTCCCATCACCGAATGGGCTGTTTTAAAACGAGCGACTGTCGCCCGGTTTTCGGCGTTCGCACCCAACATGATGGCATGGCCACCACCTGCCAAAAGGGACAGGTTGAAGGCGTTTTGAGCCCTAGATTGTGAAGAATGAGAAACCTTCTCGAATGTATATATATATATAAATACACTGTATACATGATTATGTTATTATATTACATACTATAAAGATATCTATAGACATCTATAGACATATATGTGCATGCGTTCTATAATCATGGATGCTTGTAATCATGTACAATACCGACATGTATGTATATTTGCACAATACATATAATGATCATCAATCTGCCACTGGCCTAGACCGTCCTTGCGATAGAGCTCAGAAAAGTAACTTGATGGCCTGGGTTAATGCTAGCAATCTGCAAGCAACCCGTGTCTGCTATACATATTATGTATACTAACATATCATAACATTATATAATATCGATCTAAAGATATTATGATCATCTTGAAGTTATACATATAGATGAATAGATGGATACATCATAGTTCTATCACTATAGATGGATTCATAAGTCGTATTTCAACGAAACTTGATACAACTTCATGAACTCTGAGCAGATGCCAAAACCTGAGATCTGCACTGGTTTGCTTCAAAGTTTGTAATCAATGAATCTGAATCCTCTTTCAAGGTCCCACCCACGATTTGCTTCACCTGGCAGAACATCACAAGGTCAATGAGATCATCGTCCCATGGAGATGCAAAACACTCTTCTGCCGAATATGTGGATCTGGAGCTTTCCCAAAATGGAGATATACCATGAGAATCCATGAGATACTGATATACCCCTCAAAACTCTCAAAAATCCTGACATCATCCATTCATAATTCATAGATATCATAGATGCATTTTCCATTTAAACCAGCGACAATGGGCTACCCCTCATCCATCCACCAAGAATACCCAGCCTGTCCCGCGTGGATGTCAATGCAAGGCCTTGGATCTGCTGCTTCGCCAAGTGCTTCAGCCATGGGTGACCCTGAGGTGTCATTCAAGTTATCATTCAAGCTATCATTATATATATATATTGTACATGTGATTATAATATATATTATAATCATTGATCACATTTTGATCAAATCATTGATCAAATCATGAAAATCAATTACAGATCACGGACACATACCTGGGAATTCAAGCTATCGTTTAAACTTAATTTACACCATTGATCAATGTTATTGTTGGGAGACCACTGCTGAAAAGGGTCGCTTTTATTCTAGGAAACGTCCAAATGTGACAAATGCATACAAATGCCAACAAGATCCAACCATCCTAACATGCCATATGGAATTGGTAACTGAACAATTCCACTTAGGAAAAAACAACAGCAACTGCTTTAGCTGCAGACCGAAACTTCATCCTCGCAGTGGGAAAGCCACCAGCCTCAGCGATGCTTCGATTGACAGGATGGAAACTGTTTTGATGGTCGCTCTACACTTCTGGTTTCATGTGGGGTTGCACTGTGACTCTTGAACATTCTTCACACTCCGCGCACCAGATTCAAGGTTCCAAGATGCTACCAACACCATCTCTATGAACCCAACAAATCATTTTGCAGCTTCACACGTTTGATCTCAGCCAGGGTCCAGGTTGCCCTGAAAATCAAGGCTTAGACTTAAATTGCATCACCATTAGCGATGCGCTACGCCTTTTTTGTACATTGACAGCTGGTGAGGTTCAACTGCTGAGAGGCTGACTTCTTTGGAGGATGCGTCAACTGACATCGACTTGAGCCAAAGGGTCTTCCACGGGGAGAGTCGGTCAACAGGGAAAGCTGGCGGTCAACACCTCGATGTATTTCTTGGATCTTGTTGGATTAAGGTGCCTAGAAAAAATCAGGAAACCGTTACTGGATACCTCAGGGATTTCTGAGGAAATGGAGGTGCAAAAAAAAGGGGGACCCCCAAAACCAACAGCAAATGGTTGTTTTCAGTAAGGACTCCCACGGTTTGGCGGTTTGGCTGATCATCAATTCCAGAAACACACGACCCATCATGGCGCCTGTCCAAAGCGCTCCATCAAGACACTCGCGTCAAAGGTTTCGCGTTCACTGGACCGCTCCTCGAAGCGGGACCGCGCATACCTCGCCAGTTGCGAACGCTTTTGGCTGGCTCTTGAAGCCATGTGAAAACCACGATGAAGTTCAATGAAGTGTCATTCAGAAAGCTCCTTTCTCTTCTCCAAGTCCCTTCAACTTCCCAGCGTGTATGATTTGTTTGATGAAGGTTGGTTTCTTCAAACTTGGGATGAAGACCTTGCTACACCAATCGGCCCAAAAAATCTGCAGGTCCCAAGGTGTCTTCGAATTTTGACATCGTTGGCGAAAATCTTTTGATCATATGTTCATTCGCTATACACAAAAAAATGCTGCTTAAAAGCAGTTAAATCCGCATTGTGCCTAGAAAGTGCACTCCAAATTTTTGACCCAGCATCAGCCACACCGCCAAGAAGACATTTCGAAAGGACGTTGAAACACCGAACCATTTTGACATCCTCCAACCCGAAAAATTGGATCCCTATTTGAGCCATTAAAAATACATAAAAATACCTCAAGGTTGATTGGTTATAGGGAATTATACAATCAACCAGGTTATAATTGTAATCATCCCCATTATACTATGGGTTCATGGGTTGTAATTATATGTAATTATACTATATACCTGCTTTAACGGGAGATGATTAAAAACCCATAGGCCACTGATCTCGAGTCCCCCCGGCTTGGTATTCATCAACGTGGCGTGCAGCTTGACCTGTGTCGAAAGTTTTGAGCGCGGAGGCGCGGCAGGGAATGCACCGGACATCAATCGGTTTGGAGTGGGAAATTCTATGGTTGAAACATGTTGATACCATGGCCATTTCAGGAACCGATTTATTGGAGGTACCTACCATATATAAGGCCTATTTTTCAGGCCTATGTCAGGGAACATCCCCATAAAATATGGCCTTATATGGTACTAACGTACCTCCATTTTAGGATCCTGAAATTCCCATTGATGTTGATACCATGTTTTTTACTTCTCAAGTACCAGGGCTTCCTCTAGATTTCTCCTTCATCCAAGTCTCGAACTCATTGTTGCTTGAAACACCCATTCCAACTTTTTGGAGGATTTAAAAGTAACACAAAAGGAATGATTGAAACATATTGAAAACACACCAGCTTGGCAAAGTGAACCACCATCCTTTCTGGTTCAAGATTTAGGGACGCCCGACACGGATGCTGGGTATGACTCCCATGAATTTTACATGATATATGTCTATCTATGTATGTGCCATATCCCTTGCGTATTTGAGCTATAAACGAACTTAACTACTTAACTGTATCCGAAAACACCTTGTACAGTTAGTCTCCACACCCACGATTGATCGACAAGTTCTCGCTGGTAATTTACCAAAGCCATGGCAATCTTTACCACGGCAAACTGCTAGATTGCCAGAATCTATAGCTCAATTTTCAATACTGGGCTACATAAATATTAGGCATAATTAGATATAATATAATATTTTTTTCACATAATAAAATATCCCATATAATAATTAATAAGATATCCTACATAAGATAATTTTATATATAGTACATATTATATAATTATATATGTATATATAATCAATTATAATCACATATAATAATATAATCTAGATTTATCTAGTATCACCAGTATTCACCAGTATCGTTGAGAATCACTGCACTCACGGCACCATCCACCGGTTTCTCGCAACATATCGCCGTCGCGGCCTCCGCATGTTGGCCATCGGAGGACAGGACGCGTTGCGAGTTGAGACTCTGCGAGGAGACCAAGTTTCGCGCCTCGGACAGGAAGGACAGGAAGGATTCACCTACGGAATCCCTAGGAATCTCTGGGAATCTGTGGAAAAATGATGGAAAACGGTTGATTCGTGATGATTCTTGATGGCTGATTTTAGGCTGCCTTTATGGTGACTGAATGGAACATGGCGGTTACTCTTTCCGAATTTGTTGCAGTTTGCTATGGAAGCCACGGCCCATTTAGTTCGTCGAGTGCTAGAATGTCTTAGACCTATTCACGACTTGGAGTTTGACCTGGGGGCTACCCTCTGGTAAACTAACGTAACTATGGAAAGATCCACCATTTTTAATGGGTAAATCCACTATAAATCACCATTTTCAATGGGTAAATCCACTATAAATCACAATTTTTAATGGGTAAATCCACTATTTCTATGGCCATTTTCAATAGCTATGTTCGTCATTACCAGAGGGTAAACCTCCATTTTCCTATGGTTTTCCTATGGTTTACCAGAGGGTATGTTAGATGGGACCAATGTCATTCTGGGACAGCCTGGAAGAGTTCGAACATGTTGTCTGCCAGCGCATTCAAGCCTGAAATGACAGCAGCAACGGAGGTTTCCCAACTCGTAGAGGCAGTCACGAATAGACCATTTTAGTATTGAAACATATGGAAACAACCATGGTGAGTTGGGGATCCCGAATTTTAAGAAACCTGAAAAGTAAGTGCAATGATGATATGTTTGATGTTGTACCATCAAGCTACAATGAAAACAGCATGCCTGAGGGTGCCTGTTGCAATTTGTGTTTGAGTTGGGTATGGTCATATTTCCAGCCTCCAGCTCATTTGCAAGTTTTGCAACCACACCCACTGTTGGTAAGGTGACACCAACATACGCTTACACCAATATTTTTGGCGACATTCCCGAAGTTCTTTCGCTTATTCTTGTTGGCAAGACCCAAATTTCAATAGGACAACTACTTAATTGCCACCTCGGAAAGCTCTATGGACGGCCAGCACCAAAGCATCGGTCAAGCAACGATTTTGCAAAGCACTGGATCGATCAGTGGTGTAGACTACACCGACCTCATGCTCAGTGCTTGGTTGGTTGCGTTTTTTCGATATGAGCATCAACCTGAAACCTGAGGATTTTGCTCCAAGATCCAGGGGCCCCCATGGTTGACATCAGCAAACCCATCATTGTTTGGTTGCAACATCATGCTGTCATGATATGTCATGATTATATATTCTCTATTGGCCAGCGTATGAAGTGGTCAAAGCTTTAGCAAGTTCACCAGTGCCACAGTTGTCCCCTTCGAGAACGAAGTAAAACCATAGGTGCCAACTAGTGCTCCCCACGATTCAATCCCAATCAGCAACAGCAACTGGTCAGGGATTATCCTGCACAACTTCTAACCCCGGTCCCGGTCAAGGTACGCTGGTGGGGTCATCGGTCATGATGTGCAAGCCCTGCCGCGAAATGGTCAGATGCCCTGTCCACTTTTGTTGGTAAGGGAGACAAGCAGCCAGTCACAGAGTCATAATAGATTGATAAACCCTGCATTTTCGAAATGGGTGCCATTGTAAAGACAAGTCTTCGCTTTTTGGGGGATCCCTCCAATCTCTTTATCATGTACTGTTGTAAAGCCAACGAACAAACCGTTCCTGTGCCCGGTAAGCAATTTACATCATCCCACTACTAGGGGTATCCCCAGTAATAAACCTCCGTTGGGGATGATTTATGTCCCTGATTACATCAGAATAATTACATAATTAGAATTGCAATCCACAAGACAAATACAATACCCATGATTACCAATGATAGTTGTTCAATCATGCTCAGAATCCCACAATATCTATGAACATCATGGTGATTTATCACCATTCATCAGTCGGTTTATGAAATTCTACCTGATACCACCTAAGTTCATGGTGATGAACAGATACCCATTAATGTGGGTAAAACAATAGTAAACCATCTGCCAGTCATCACCATTTTTATAGGTGGTATGGTTACCATTCCCAGTCATTTTTGTGGTAAAAATTGCATTGTTTTACCCACATTATCCCATACTATCCCATATAATCATCTATAATCAGCTAAAGTACATACTATCTATAATCCCATACTATCCCATTGACCGCCCACCCTCATGTGGGCCGCGACCGGCCGCCCATAGTCTGAGGTGGCGGACAGGCCTGGGCAGCTTCCGAGGCTCACAGGATATGTATTGTAAGTGGATCAATAAATATATAACATTAAAAAAAACCAGAGTTGTAGTAAAATCTCATGACCATCCTTATACCCATTTATAACTGTTATACCTGCGCATTCGGAGTAGTACAGGCCCTTCTTTTTGGGTCCCGCACGGGCCGACAAATCATTCAGAGCCTGGCACGACTGGAAAGCCACATCATTTGGAGCCTCTGGTCATCGAAGGTTTTGCCACCCTTTATCATATGCAATATCATGGGATATTATGTGAAATTATATAGCATTGGATGTTATATGGCAATATAATATATACAGAATGTATACATGTACTATGCTTAAAATTGAAGTAAAACCTTTGGTAATCTAACGGTTTGCCAGTGGACGGCCATGGAAATCATATGAACTATACAATAGGTAGATATAAGATCTAGGTAAATTATCTACACATGGGGCATTTTCTATATATTTTTTAATTACCAGAAGCGAACCCTTAAACCTTGGATGGTTTTTCTATGGCTGGAAGTGGACAGTCTCTGGATAACATTACTCTCTGGTTGGTTAACACTTTGCTGTGGAAGCCATGGCACATAGAAATAGATGACAAAAAAAACATGATTTACCGGTTGACCATGGTGATTTTCCATAGCTACCGTTGCTTGACTTTGCAAAACATCGCCAATCCAATGCTTGTTTGGCATCATCCTCCAAGGCGACAGCTACTGTGGGATGAACATTGAAGTAGAGCTGCTAAACCTACTTGCAGGCGTGCGTGTATATATATATATATCACATATAATCTTATAAGATATTATATGCATATCATTGATGTATCCCATCATACCCCATCTAAGTCAACTTTCCTATTTAACCACTGGCTGGTTTCAACCCATCCCAAGACTATATATGTACAGTACTACAGTCAACTGATATCAGCAGAATAATACTATCATTTCTATGTCAGTACGATTAGCGGTCATATCTTGGTCACAATCATATTTGCTTGGCTTAAACACGCATGGTTGGCGTTGAGAACCATTCTCAACATGGCCCCCCATGATGCTTTCTGTGACAATTCGTGGGAAACCACATGGATTGACACTGAACATTTTCCCGTTTAAGTTCCGAAAATTCCCTTCATACTGTGGAAGAAATTATGGAAGAAATCCTGCACCACCTTGGATGGTTGAAACCCTATAAATAATGGGATGAACCATCTATCAACTGGTGCAGAATTTCTTCCATCCACAGTATTTTCAGTTTCCCATCACATTACCCATCACCCACCTCTTTCATCTCTTCCACTTGTGCATGCGAGTGGAGCTTCAGCATGCACAGGGTGAAGTGCATCCGCCTACGGGATGGAGGGAAAACATGCTTGAAATATGTTGAATCCTCTATAATTGATACTAAAACAAACATAAACAGACCTAAAACCCATGATTTCCGGTGGATTTCTTCCTTAAATCGATTGACATTGAGACCCAACTGCCTTGAGGGTGCGGTTGGGGTTATAAATGGCAATATAAACGAAGTTGTCAAAGGAAGTTTAGGGGGAGAAACTTCCGTGTTACGGACTTTTAGAATGTCAGGGAAAGAGTTAGTCAAAGAAAGAGTTAGTCAAAGAAACAGTTAGTCAGGGAAAGAGTTAGTCAAAGAAAGAGTTAGTCAAAGAAAGAGTTAGTCAAAGAAACAGTTAGTCAGGGAAAGAGTTAGTCAAAGAAAGAGTTAGTGAGGAAAAGGGTTAGCAAAGAAACAGTTAGTCAAAGAAAGAGTTAGTGAGGGAAAGAATTAGCAAAGAAAGAGTTAGTCAAAGAAAGAGTTAGTCAAAGAAAGAGTTAGTGAGGGAAAGAGTTAGTTAAAGAAAGAGTTAGTCAAAGAAAGAGTTAGTCAAAGAAACAGTGAGTCAGGGAAAGAGTTAGTCAAAGAAAGAGTTAGTGAGGGAAAGAGTTAGTCAAAGAAAGAGTTAGCAAAGAAACAGTTAGTCAGGGAAAGAGTTAGTCAAAGAAAGAGTTAGTAAGGGAAAGAGTTAGTCACAGAAAGAGTTAGCAAAGAAAGAGTTCGTCAGGGAAAGAGTTAGTCAAAGAAAGAGTTAGTCAAAGAAACAGTTAGTCAGGGAAAGAGTTAGTCAAAGAAAGCGTTAGTCAAAGAAAGAGTTAGTCAGGGAAAGAGTTAGTCAAAGAAAGAGTTAGTCAAAGAAAGAGTTAGTCAAAGAAACAGTTAGTCAGGGAAAGAGTTAGTCAAAGAAAGAGTTAGTGAGGGAAAGAGTTAGTGAAAGAAAGAGTTAGTGAGGGAAAGAGTTAGTGAAAGAAAGAGTTAGTCAAACAAAGAGTTAGTCAAAGAAACAGTTAGTCAGGGAAAGAGTTAGTCAAAGAAAGAGTTAAAACTCTAGGATCGTTCCCTCACTGTAAATGGCATTGCAAGTGGTGCTGGTGGATGAGTTGCCGATGGAGTTTTGGAGGAAGTCTCGCACGAAATCCGTTTTTGAGAGATAGAAGATGCACGAAACCCTATGTTTTTCCATACAAAGTCCGTCCCCGAACCTCGATGATCTACCTCTGCGGTGCGACGGG